TAAGACTGATGCAAGATGCTAAACAAAATAAAAGCAAGTGGACACCAGAAAAATACTACATGGTAATCTAGCTGGGGTTAAGTTTAGGAATGTATGCTTAGTTCATTGTTGAGAATCTGAATTATCTCTATTTCAAGATTAAAGACAAACATAAATTTTTTAACCAATATAGAAAATAAAATAGATATTCAACAATAATTCACAATAAATTCTCTTCAGAAATTGATCAGACCATGGTGAACTTTTTATTTTGTTAACAGTACTCAACAACAAAAGACAACCTAGAAAACAAAATTATAGTAAACATACACTACACAACCACACACAAATACATCCACACCTGCACACATATAAACTAACTACAAAGAAAATAAGAAAAAAAATTATGAACTAGAAGAAAGTATGTGGAGTACATTGCATGTAGAAGGAATAGATATGCAGTAGATATGAGTAGATATGCAGTAGAAAGAGTTCTAATAAGTGATTAGAATAAGACAAAAAGCTTCTAAGAAAAAAACATGAAAATGTACGAAACAAACACAGAAATTCAGTATTAATAGCAACTAGTTATGCAGCACAAAGACTGATTAAGTATTAATGATACAGAAAGACTATAAACGTCCTTGCGTGTATTTGATGACAAATGGATTAATAAATTGCTTTTGTGGGAGCATGGGATTATCAGAAAACCAAGAGAGGAAGAATAATGCATGAATGGGTTTTGGAATGTTTCAGTGATTTTCTGTATCTATTCTGGTTATGCCTTGCTGCTGTTACTGAATAACACTGCTTGATGCTCAATTTTATACCAATCTTGCATTCCTGGATAAACCCCACTTGGTCCTGAATTATAATTTTTATATGTTGTTGGATTTGTTTTGGCTAATCTTCTGTTAAAGATTCTGGGGTCTATGCTCCTGAGGTTCATTGATCTGTAGCTTTCTTGTCTTGCACTCATTCTCTGCTTGATATTTATATAAGCACAGAGCTCATAATATAGGTGTGGAAATGTTCCCTTCCTTTCCATTATCTGATAGAGTTTTATTAGGATTGCTTTGATGTTCTCCTTAAGTATTTGGTATAATTAATCAGTCAATACATCTGAACCTGCAGAGATGCAAAGGAATGCAGTGGGGGGGAGGTGGGGGAGGAAAAATGCACACACACACATGTAAAGTTTCTTAATTAAGATTTTCTCAATCATGATGGGACCGCTGATCACATACAGCTAGCTACATGTAGCGCCCCAGCAACTCCTTCCCAGCCTCACTGGCATGTACAGTTCACTATGCCTTATTAGAGTTAAGAAAACTCTGCAGGCTCTCTGTTTACATAGATCCCTTCCATTCACTATTCTATTCCATCAATTCCAGATGCCTCAACTTTACTGAACTCTAATCTCTATCTCCTCACTTGAGTGAGACCATTCTCTGGGGCTTGTTTCCCACTATGTAGGCTCTATAGGGGAATCTGTCCCCTAGCACAAACCAGTAATGAACATAAGGCTCACAGCATCCATTTCCCTCTATCAGAGATCCCAGTTTTTTTAATACATGCTGTTCAATATATGTGTGCATGTTAAGTCTCTTCAGTCGTGTTTGATTCTTTTTCCCCTATGGATTGTAGGCTGCCAAGCTCCTCTGTCCATGAAATTCTCCAGGCAAGAATTCTGGAGTGGGTTTCCATGCCCTCCTCCAGGGGATCTTCCAGACCCAGGGATTGATTAACTCCATCTAAATCAAATCATACATATTGACTTATTTTCTTATTATTTATTACAGAAGGGAAAGTAAATAGTATACAATGTGTTTTTACCTGAGGTTTTCTGTATCAGTGGACCATTTCTTCACCCTGCTACACATCTCCAGGAATGTAACTAAAGATCTCCCTAAGGGAATGGATTATATTTTCTCATTTCCTTATTTTGAATTCAGTCATAAGACTTGCTTAAGCCAACAGCATAAGTTGAAAGTTATAGTGTGACACGTTAACTGATCTTGTATGTTTCTATGAGAAGAACATGCTCTTCACACCTTGCTGGTCTCAGAAAATGGATGCAAGTCATGTAGAACAGAGCCTCCAGAGTTAAGACACACTAACTGGGTCCATCCTGTTGCAGGCAACATGGCCATAAATCCATGAGTGTGTTGTTGTATGTCATTATGCACAGTCCATATTTGAAAACTGAGAAGTTATGCCTCGCTTATCTTGAGAATGGAGTAGCTTCTTAAATTCTTGGGAAATCTTATTCACAGGTGATTTGACCCAGGTAGTTTTCATATATTTTTGAATACTTCTTTACTTTCTAGCACTATAAGGTGCTTCAAGTTCATCCTGTATATTTCATGTTTGGTGCTACAATTAGTCATTTTGCTAAGAATACCCGATCCTGAAAAATGGTATTAGAAAGCAAGATCTGGATACTGTGTATACTTGTTGCTACTGCAATCTTTGATTCTAAGCTTTCCCAGATAGAGCAAGAAAATACATAAGTGATACAAACCTGCATATAGACAGGTATGTGTAAACACTCTGTATGCAAACATTCATATCTACATTAAGTAAAACATGAATTCATACAAATATGTCCAACACTAATATATTACCATATGGATCATTCTAGGCTCCTCCCCTGGCTTATATGTGAGCCACCTTGTCAAAGAGAAACTTGCCTACACATGTTTCAAATAGCTATCTAAGTACTTAGGAATGTGAATGCATGATCACATGATAAGACTATTTTAGTTTTGAAAGAAACGGCAAACTGTCTTCTAAAGTGTTCAGTTTCTCGACATTATGATCTTGGCTGTAGAATTCAGAGATGTTCTTTATCAAGTCAAGGAATTTCTTTCTATCACCAATTTGACAGAGATTTTTTTTTCTTTAATCATGAATAGGTGGATTCTTCATTGTTGTTTTGGTCAAATACTCTTTATACAGTTCTTGATATGATCACATGACTTTTTTCTAAGTATTTGATATGGTGGATTACACTAATTGACTATTCACTGGAAAGTAGGTCTCTGTTACGAAGAAGGCATTGGACATACTACACAATGATCACTTTTCTCCCATTGGCAGGTTCATAAGGAGTTACTTCTTGGATCCATACAAGAACCTGATGGGGTTCCTGAAGGAAAGGCCATAAAAGCACAGAGACCCTTACAAGATTGTGATCACCTGCGTACTTCCCTGGCCTCCAACAAGGCATAAAAATTACCATTTAAATAGTTCTCTCTTTTGATGAGTTCAGGGGCGTCTGCTCCAGGTAAGTAAAGTTCACCTGGGACTTTGGATGCCACTCTGTTTACAGATTTCTGGTTGCAGTTTGCCCTGAAACCTAAGTTCTCTGACAGATCCAATAAAAGTCACTAATTTTCAATTTGTCCAAATTCTTCTTGTAAGATTTTGAGTCACTATTTCCAAATTCTTTAAATGGCAGAGCCAAGCTAAAAGCCCAAGATTAACCTTTCTACTGCTGAAGGAAGACACCATTTTACATCTGATTCTCCAGATTTAACTTATTTCCTAGAGAAAAGTTTTAGAAAGAAAAGCCCAGAGAGTTCTCACATTATCAATAACCTAATTATAGATGAAAAATAATCTTTATCTTCATTGTAGCCATTTTAGTATCAGGAATTTCACAGAAAAACATTGGTTCAGTTCAGTTCATTTCAGTCACTCAGTCGTGTCCGACTCTTTGTGACCCCATGGACTGCAGCACGCCAGGTCTCCCTGTCCATCACCAACTCCTGGAGTCTACCCAAACCCATGTCCATTGAGTGAGTGATGCCATCCAACCATCTCATCCTCTGTCATCCCCTTCTCCTCCCACCTTGAACCTTTCCCAGAATCAGGGTCTTTTCCAATGAGTCAGCTCTTCGCATCAGGTGGCCAAAGTATTGAAGTTGCAGCTTCAGCATCTTTTCTTCCAATGAATATTCAGGACTGACTTCCTTTAGGATGGACTGGTTGGATCTCCTTGCAGTCCAAGGGACTCTCAAGAGTCTTCTCCAACACCACAGTTCAAAAGCATCAATTCTTCGGCACTCAGCCTTCTTTATGGTCCAACTCTCACATCCATACATGACTACTAGAAAAACCATAGCTTTGACTAGACAGACCTTTGTTGGTAAAGTAATGCCTCTGCTTTTTAATATGCTGTCTAGGTTGGTCATAGATTTCCTTCAAAGGAGCAAGGGTCTTTTAATTTCATAACTGCAGTCACCATCTGCAGTGATTTTGGAGCCCCCCAAAATAAAGTCTGCTACTGTTTCTATTGTTTCCCCACCTATTTGCAGTGAAGTGATGGGACTGGATGCCATGATTTATTTTTCTGAATGTTGAGTTTTACGCCAACTTTTTCACTCCCCTCTTTCATTTTCACTGAGAAAGATTAGTTACTCAGATATTTTGAGTAATATTGGATGAGGCTACAAAACTTTGTATTTCCATTAAAAGTTTGCCTTAAAATACAATTAATTTATGTTAATATTTTGTGATTAGTAGATAGTACAAGATTTTAGATGGGAATGACATACTTTCTGAACTTTACATTCATAGCATTAAATGTAAGATATTTTATGGCACTTATATATATATATATATACATATATATATATATATATATTTTTTTTTTTTAGGTTGTATACTCTCTTTAAAATTAACTAATTTCCACAGTAAGCATTTTAAATGCCCATGTTTCCTTTCAAACTTTATATTCATATTCTTTGCAGATTTAAAGTATAAATGCATAATCTTCATATATATTTACTTTTGTACAGCATACCTTACAAAATATTTTTTAAAGACCAAAATTCAAAGGATACAATAACATGTCGATCAGATGGATTTCACTGACGTGTTCTTTCTAACCGAGTTAACTGTTTAGCTTCTCGATTCCTTGCTGTTAATGTTGCTTTGAGTTCATCTCTCTTCATTTTTACAATGGTTCCATAAGCTTTCAAAGGTTCAACTACTTTGGCTTCAAGTCTTTCAACCTCGGCTTGTCGATAATCCTGAAGTCTGGCAAACTCTCCCACAAAGTTTTTCAGGCCCTGCTTTAAGTGCGGGGTCTCAGTAGAGGCATACACGTTGATTTCCTTCACCAGGAGGTCCACTTTGCCTCGCAGTCGGGCGGTTTTCCGCACGTAAGCAGCAAAGATCTGGCACAGCTCTCCGAAATGTTTCTCCACATTGGTGACAGCATCTTGCAGTTGTCTCGTCTGAGCATCCCAGTCTTCCAAGCTGCGCCTCAACATGCTGCCTCGCTCACTGCTGGAGACCCCGGGCTGAGGCCCAACGACAGGGTCTTGGCGCCCAGATGTGCTCCAGGGTGCAAGAGCCCGCCCCGCGCGCGCCCAGCACTTAGATTTTATATATTAGTACAAGAGTATTGCCCTGCCAATAAAATCTATTTGTCTTATTATAGCAATTCTTGTTGTCAAATGTATTAATATATCCACTTGCCATGTGAATCCAAATTCTCAACATTATCCTTTTATTGAACAGAATTTATGATTCCCTTCTATGTTTGATGAAATTAAGAAAAAAAAATTTTCAACATGATTCACCATCAAGGTAAAGTTATTATTTTGGGGATATGTGCATGTATGGGACGTTTAGCTTAAAATAATGTTTAAAGACTTCTATGAACGCAGGCAGTTTGGGGGCATGCTTCACCTAATTCAGGTACAAGATAGCATGTAGCAGCCCTCTATGAATCAATTCTTATAGTTTCTAAGCAGTATCAAGGGATGATATTCTATACTTGTAACTGTGGAAAAAGCTTTGGTCAATGCTTGACATTGAGTAGCATTACTCAGCTTTATCTGATTATTGTTTGGAATTATACGCATTTCCTAGTTTGCTGGCACAACATGAATAAAATAAAAATAAACTTAAAATAAACTTAAATAAAAAGAAACTTAAAATAAACTTAAAATTTGCATATAGTGTGAGTTTACTGAAATATCTGCCATAGTAATGATGAAACTCTATGTTCAATACTTCCTCTTGTCTTGAATAACAAAAATTTTTCAGTTATCCAATGCAGTCATCTCTTCAGACAAATGAGTAGATGAAAATAAACCCATAACTACCTCACTTTACAAAGTACAAGTATTACTTGAAAGTTGGTAAGTGCATATATGCAAATGAGTATCTTTTGCATGGGTAACTTCTATATTAAAGAAAACCAGGGAAAATTCATGTTTTGAAATGGAGAGCCACCATTTAAATTGGAGAACTCTTATTATTTAGCTAACCTATTTTGACTTGTAAAAATCACCAACATATCCAAGGACAGAAACAATATTACTTTTCTTCTTGCTTTATTCACTACCTCTCATCTACTGCTAGGATAAGCATCCAATGAATTAACACAGTGTAACAAATATGCCCAGTACATTAAGTTGAATAGAAAATCTATGGCATTATACTGTTTTACAATCAGATATTAGGAAAAGATGCACACTTATGAAACACTTACTGAACAAGCTATTTCCATATATACACAAACATATATTTAGTATTACAAGTAATGCAATAACTATAGAAATAATCTATTAATGTGTAAAGTTAAAATTGTTACTACTGTATTTATTCAGCAAGTTATATAAAAGCATGAGCAATTACAGAAATCTCTTTCATGTTTCTGACATTCAATACATACTGCACTCCAAGTAAAACAACTTATAACTCTCCTTACAGGTCATTTAATTAGGCAGAAGGAACTTTACCTCTGATTATAGTTTGTGGAGGATTTGTAATTTGAATGCATGAAAAATGCAATGCTCTGTTGCCAATTGCTATTTAACAAGTACTATTCCTTCCTTCTATTAACTTTCTAGGTCTGGATGTACTATTGTATAGTTTATCTACCTTACACAGAAGACTTGCTGCAAAATTAGGAATTCTAGTCACCAAATGAGTGTATAAAATTAATTAGTAATTATGCAAATTTTGCAGAGTGAACTCTATATACTTCTCTTCTTCCTGAATGTTGTAATAGGGTAAATAAGCTAGTGGAACATGGGAACAGAAAGAAAATACACAAATATACTAAAGACTTTTAGACAAAAATCAACAGGGAAATTTATACTGGATAACAAAATGTTAAAACAATTTCTGTCAAAATTTAAACATTCCAGCTATCACAATTAGTCATAGCATTTTTTGAAGAAACTAAAATAATAAGAGATTATAATTGGTAGAATTACTGGGAGAGACAAACCATCATAATGTGAATGATATCACTGTAAATGATAAAAACAAGAATAACTTATAAAATTCCTAGAATCATTAAGACAATTAGGTAAGATGACAGGTAAGAATAAGTATAGTAAAATACTCCATAAATGCATGAAAAGATGGTCAATATCACTTATTATTAGAGAAATGCAAATCAAAACTACAATGAGGTATCACCTCTCACCAGTCAGGATGACAATCATCAAAAAATCTACAAATAATTGCTAGAGAGGTATAGAGAAAAGGTAACCCTCTTATACTGCTTTTGGGAATGTAAATTGATACAGTGACTAGGGAAAATAGTATGCAGCTTCCTTAAAATCTAAAAGTAGAACTACCATATGACACAGCAATCCCACTACTAGGCATATACTCTGAGGAAAGCAAGATTGAAAAAGATACATGTACCCCAGTGCTTATTGCAACACTACATACAACAGCTAGAACATGGAAGCAACCTAGATGTCCACTGACAGATGAATGGATAAAGAAGTTTGGGTACAAATATACAATGGAAAATTACTCAGACATGAAAGAAACACATTTGAGTCAGTTCTAATGAGATGGACTAACCCAGAGCCTATTATACAGAGTGAAGTAAGTCAGAAAGAGAAAGAGAAATGTTGTATACTAATGCATATATATGGAATCCAGAATGATGGTACTAAAGAATTTTATTTGCCAGGCAGAAATGGAGAAACAGACATAGAGGGATGGGAAGGGGAGGGAGACAGGAGGGAGGTATCTGTATTATTTTACACTCCCACCAACAGTGTGCAAAGGTTCCAATTTCTTCACATCCTTGTAAACACTTCTCATCTTTTGTTTGTTTGTTTCTTGATAAGAGCTACCTTGATAAGTATCCTATGAAGCAATATCTCATTATTGACTTGATTTTCATCTCCTTGATAATTACTAACATCAGCACCTTTTCATGTATCTGTTGGCCATTTGTATTTCTTCTTTGGAGAAATGCCTATTCAAGTCCTTAGTCCATTTTTAAATAGGATTTTAGTTTTGTGTTTGTTTGTTTTTTTAGTGAGTTGTAGTATTTTCTTATATATTTTGGACATTAACCCTCTATAAGATATATGCTTTACAGATATTTTCTCCCATTTAAAGAGCTGCCTTTTATTACTTGCTTCATTTGCCATACAAAAGTTTTTTATGACAAAAAGCACTGCAATAATGTAAAGTAATTAGCCTCCAAATAATAAAAAATAAATGGAAAAAAAAAGTTTTTTAGTTTGATGCAGTCCCATTTGTTAAATTTTTGTTTTTGAGGTCTGTGCTTTTGGTGTCATATCCACGAAATCACTGTCAACACCAACATCATGAAACTTTCCCTCTATATGTTCTTTTAGGATTTTTACAGTTCCAGAATATACATTTAATTTTTTTACTCATTTTGAGTTGACTTTCATGTATAACATAAGATATTTCATTCCTTTTTGTGTGTGTGAATATCTTATTTTTCTAACACAAAATATTTCACTCAACAGAAACAGAATATATTGATACATTCTTTTCAGGCACACAGCAGGGAATTTTCTCCAGGATAGATCACATATTACGTCACAAAACAAGTTTTTACAAATTTAAGGATGAAATCACACTGAGTATTTTTTCTGAACACAATAGAATGAGCCTAGAAATCGACAGCAGAAGGAAAACTGGAAATTCACAATATGTAGAAATTAAACAACACACTGAGCGACAAGATTGGATCAAATAAAAAATCAAAAGCAAATTAGAAAATACCCTCAGACAGACAAAGATAAAGATATAACATAACAAATCTTATGTGATATTGATGGGAAGAGCTGACTCATTAATAAGACTCTGATGCTGGGAAAGATTGAAAGCAGGAGGAGAAGGGGATGACAAAGGGTGAGATAGTTGGATGGCATTGCCGATTCAATGGACATGAGTTTGAACAAGCTCTGGGAGATGGTGAAGGACAGGAGTGCTGCATCCATGGCATCACAAAGAGTTGGACACGACTGAGAAACTGAACAGTAACAATAGGGTGTTGAAAAGAAATTACTAAAATATAAATTTATTACAAAAACGCCTATGTTTTAGAAGAAGAAAAATCTCAAACAACCTAACTTTATACTTCAGTGAGCTAGAAAAAAAACAAATTAGCCATATATATATATATATGAAAGATTCATATAAATACATTAGTGGTCCATACCCCCAAATGGTATTTAAAATGTGTGTGAATCTTTTTGCTTTATGTTAAATTGAGTATGTTATAAACATATATTGTTAGGCTGAATGCATTAATGCCTTTAAAAAGTTAAAACTGTGATTGGTAGGCAAATAAGAAAGTAGCTCAGATGGTAAGGAGTCTGCCTTTAATGCAGGAGACCCATGTTTTATCCCTGGGTTGGGAAGATCCCCTGAAGGAGGAATGGCTACCCACTCCAGTATTTTAGCCTGAAGAATCCCATGGGTAGACGAGCCTGGCAGGCTATAGTTTATGGTGTCACAAGCACAGACATGCATGCAAGAAATAGGATTAATGATAGATTATGTGTGATGTTCTATAAACAATGATACTTCATACAATTTGCTGATATATTAGTGCATTTTTTGAAGACATGTAAATATAAAGAATCTACTCTTATTTTTAATTATATACTATATGTGTGTATATATATGTAGCATATATAGTATATATTTAACATATTACAAATATTTATATTTAATATATCTTAATTATATGAAAATTATTTCCTTAAAATGCTAGTCTAGATATTATCATGAATCATTTATTAAAACCTATAACTACAAACAACTTCTCCATTACTTTGCCTAATTAACTGCCTGATTATCTGGTTATAGTACCACAATGTAAGAAGCTATTACAATAACATCTCAATGTTATGTGAAGTAAAGTGAAAGTCGCTCAGTCATGTCCAATTTTTTGCAACCCCATGGACTATATGGTCCATGAAATCCTCCAGGCCAGAATACGTGGGAGTGGGTAGCCTTTCCCTTC